AATTCGCATAACGAGCAAAACAAATTGTAAACAAAATGATTTGCTTAATGAGTGACGTTTCGCATAACGAGTGGAGGATTGTCCCGAATTGTGCGCATGTTACATCAGTCTGTGTTTAGCACTCGTTCCAGTAGCATCGTAGTATCGCTTGTGATCACACATTTTCTCAAACTTGTGTTATATTGTAATATATGTATATGAATCCTCCAGGCCCACAAAATGATCTCTCTGAAGAATTTAAGTTCATCAAGATCCAATTTCTGCCTCCCAACACCACTCCGTTACTCCAGCTCATGGACAAGCAAGTTATTTCTAACTTCAAGAAGCTCTACACTAAAGCACTCTTCGAGCATTGTTTTCATTTGACTGAATGGACCTACCTCACTCTCAAGAGTTTTGGAAAAATCACTTCCACATCGTTGCCTGCCTCAAGATGATCGACAAGGCGGGGGAAGGGGTTACCAAGAGAACTCTAACTTCTGCTTGGAAGAAGCTTTGGCCGGAGAGCTTTGTGATTTATGACTTTGAGGGGTTCGAGACAGTACCTGAGGAACGTGTAGTCAACGAGATTGTGTCTGTGGCCACTATCATGGGATTGTAGTTGGATAACAGTGATATTGAAGAACTTGTGGAAGAGCACCGCCAAGAGCTGACCACACAAGAGCTTATGGAGTGACATTGTGTTTCACAGCAAGAAGTTTTGGAGCAAAGTTTGCCAGAGGAGGAGGAAGAGGTAACAGAAAAGCAACAATCTTCTGGCGAAATAAGAGAAATGCTGAAAAGATGGCAAACTGTTGCATCTTACGTTGAGAAGCATCACCCTAATAAGGAAGTGGCTATGCGCGTTGTAAATTTATTTAATGATAATTCTGTGTCCTGTTTTCGCCAAATTTTGCAGCGTCGGCAAAAACAAATGTCTCTGGACATCATTGTCGTAAATAATTAGCTATGTATCATAATTATTTCGAATTTTTTTTCTGCAAATCGAATTCGCATTCCAGGTGGGTTCGTTCCGCGTTTGAAGAAAAGATGAAGATGATTTACTCTCCTTAACAATATGGATATAATTTTCTTTGAATAAACGTTATACATAGCATTTTGTAAGTATTTTTTTTTTCGACCTGGAACGCATTATAATATTTTACATTAATGTATATGAGAAAAATTGTTTTGCATAAAGAGTGTTTCGCTTAACGAGTATGATTCTGGAACGAATTATGCTCGTTAAGCGAGGTTCTACTGTATTAGTTCGTGTGCTGACACACCTCCATGCCATGCAACAAAACTGTCAAGAATGTTCTCTCGTTGTCTTCCTCCTTCCCTCCTTCCACAGATCTCTCTAGTGGTCACCACATGTTCCGTTTCTCCTCTTCTCATAACATGGCCGAAAAATGATGACTGTCTCCTTCTGATGTCTGTGATTAGTTGTCTTCGGGCACCCGCCTCTTTTAAAACCTATTGGTTGCTTTTTTTAGGCTGTTCAAGGTATTTTAAGCATTGTTTTGTAAAACTACATCTCTGAAGCGCCTAGAGAAATTGTTTGGCCTGCCTACCGATTGTCCAGGACTTACAACCATATGTTAAAACTACAAAAATAGGAGAAAAATAGTAGCAAACAATAATTATCTTTCTAACCTTCAATGGCAAAGATTTATTGCATAAGATGTTCTTCATTTTATAAAAATGCAGGTATTGCCTGTTGCCTGTGCTTTTTTCAACAGTGGTGAGGAAAGTATCTCAATTATCTTTATGTCTTCTTTAATAATGTTACAATTTATAGCCGACTTTTCTTGATTTTCGCCCCGGCACCCCTGTCATACGCACACAGTTTGAGAACTTTAGCTGTAATGCCTCGGTCGAGCCAGCAGACAAAGACCTTGCCAGATGATGTACCACGCAACCGGGTCGCAGTTTTCCCGCTACTACAAACTTAGGCAACAGCAACTATTGTGTTAATGAGATAATTATTTCAGTCCATCGAAGTGTGTGCAGAAATTAGTGTAAGGTAACCACTATTCGTATTCGGCCCGACCGCAACTATTCGGCCGAATACCGAATAGTCATTCGGTCCACTATTCGGCCCCGAAGCGAATACGAAGCGAATATTCGGTACAGCCTTAGTTGAAAGTAATTAACAATGAAGTAACAAGGAGAAAGAAAACAAATTACACAAGCAAAAACAACAGCAGATATAAAATCACATCGTTGACAAACGGACAGAGAGAAGCTGAACTAAACATAACAAGCTAAATAAAATACTTGCATTCAAAAGTAGACATAAACTGACTGGCTGACTATCTACCCCACCAGGACATCACACAAGCGATAAACACCCGATGAAACAATGTGCCACTATGTGGATGAGGATCACCGCTGAGAGGTCCCAGAAACCGCGTTAAGCCATTAGGCTATATTGCGGCCCCTGGCATAAGCCAGAGTAGGGCTTCAAAAAAGAAAAATTGCATCCTAAAAAGGACGGCAAGCGTATGAATAATGGAGTAGACATAAAGGTATACCTAAACATATTAATTATAAAGTATTAAACAAACAATAAAACAACAACACTGGCAAGAAAAGAAATTATTTTACTTCGATATCATTTCATCCGTTACATTAACGTCTAAACACATAGCCATTTTATAAATGTCATCTTGCACAAATTATGATGTTCTCATAACTCTTTAAACACTAAATCACAATTTTACATTCGAAACATAAGTATTGTAGAAGCAGAAAAAGAGTATCCCCCCTTGTGTTACTAGGGAAACGACGAACGAAATAACAGTAAGATAGCAATATTTCTTAAACTGGAAACTCACAAGAAAATAATATTTAGAGGCATCAAAGTCGGGTACAGTAGTGGTTAGATGCTTGCCTGCCAGTCCAAAGGTTGTGGGATCGGATCTACATGGTGATGGATTCTTATAAGGATCTCAAGTAAACGAATCCTAACACGAATACTAGAAAATATCTGGGTAAGTAAAGTCGGCCGGCAGGAAGTTGTCCACATCAGCCATCAAGTGCCATTTAGTCTATAAAAGTTTGTCGAGCATCATATGCCCCGATGCCTCACTGGTGCAGTTAGTGGCGATCCTTTTCCACACAGGACTGCTGGTTACGTCATTTTGATATAGCCATTACAGGTGCTCTGATCTTCTTCTTCTTCGCGTTCGCCGGCTCTAAACTCCGGTGGAAAAGTTCTGGTTGTTCGTCTACTTCTGGAGTCTAGTCCTGTTCCAAAAACTGAGTGTTGCGTCTACATCCGTTTCATAGGTCTGAGTTATTTTCATGCAGAATGTTGGTTCCTTGTCTCTCAGGCAGATGTACTGCCACACACATTATTCAACCTCCCACATTACTAATCCACACGCAGTATTCAAATTCAAATAGTTTGCAACATCATTAGTTAATTAACCCACAAAGCAGAGTGACGTTCAACCCCACCAGGACTGCACAACGAGAGATTAACAACCGGTGACATAAAGTGTCAGCTTTCAGATATGAATCCCTTAAGCACAAGTCCTACAAACCCACTTCAACCGCTAGGTTATATTAGGGCCCTGGGCGAGTCAGAATAGGGCTTTAAAATAAACTTTAAAAACCGCGTCCCATATTAGGAAGGGGTTCGATTCTGATCCACATAGCTGATAACAGCTTTTAGTTTTCAGGCACATGCAGTGTAGTACCATACTATGCCTCTGCACACTGTGTGAACCTGGGAAGTATTTTATTATAATCTGTTGTGTAAAAAAAAAAAAAAAAAATAAACAAATGCCTATCACTAATTCATAATTTAAAAAAAAATTGAACTTAATCTAGGGCCATGGGGTACATTTTCTCAATATAATGCAAGTGTTCGAAATTCCGCTTACAGTGTCGCCTGATGCGGCCGCTTGTCTGTATGATATTACTGCACGGCCTAACTAGATCTCGTCAATGTAAATACAGTTGAATGTAATAACTAGCGCAGTGTCAGGCAGACTTCAGCTCACTAAAATCTACCATAACACTTTGTGCTGACAGTCCCATTTAAATTTGATTTCTCCTGAGATTGTGAATCGAACCTGGCCGTTGACGACCTTAATATCGTCAAGGTCATGAAGATAGTCTGTGAGTTTGATGATTTCACTAATCTGTTGTTGTGTCCTTTGTATGCCGTTCCTGATAATGGCGATTCCATTCAGAGTTGCGTTCTCACAAACAAACTTCCCTGCGAGTAAAAAAAAAAGTATCACAATTAAATCGATGTCTGGAAAGAGGTTTCTGTAATTAAAATATCTATTTAAAAAAAAAGATCATACTAGGGGAGCTGCGCCTGTAAAAAGCATAATGAAAATAATTCGAAACTAGTGATCACTATGATAAAGTTTTATTTAGCTTCTATGGATTTCCAGGTCACCATACCCCGAACAGGTACCAGAAACTGTCATGGAAAGTAAAGGAGGTCCCATATCAAATGCCGTCTGGTGTGTAAACTGTTGTATTATTTGTGTCCCTTTCCCTCTGTTGAACTTTTAGTCCAAGTTTATGTTGCTACGTCTTGGTGGAAGGTAGAAAAGGGGGGGGGGAGCTGGAAAGGTCTGCTTAGTGAAATACACACAGAAATAAAGCAAACTTATTAACCAAAAGCGAACTCATCGATCAAAGTCTTTATCAAAATAATATAAACTGAAAATATAATATTATATGATGATCATAAAGACCGGGAAATGGTGCTAGAATGTAAGTGGGTGTCATGTAAGAAACATGTTGCCAGACACCGGCCCACAAAAGAAGTCAATCATGGCGGAATCGGAGCAAGAAGTTGTACTACAAACTAGGGGTTTGAGGAGTTGCCAGACACCGGCCCACAAAAGCAGTCAATCATGGCGGAATCGGAGCAAGAAGTTGTTCTACAAACTAGGGGTTTAAGGAGTTGCCAAATACCGGCCCACAAAAGCAGTCAATCATGGCGGAATCGGAGCAAGAAGTTGTACTACAAACTAGGCGTTTGAGGAGTTGCCAGACAGATAATACCACCATCTTTATACCGTAACACTTCCATTAACCGTCACTAGTTTAACCGTCAGTTTCTGTTATCCATCCCTTCTTAGTTTAAAAAAAAAATTGTAACGATAAAGGATTCGTTTCTAACCAAAGGTTCACAAATATGCCATTCAGAAGCAGGAACAATATTATCTAAGAGTATCCACTGGTTTGAAATGCAAGAGAAGACAAATGCAGCACAGATACTACTAATTCTGAGTAAGATACGGAACATCACCGCGCAAAAACTTGAACCTCAAAGACACAGAAGGAGATAACAGATTATTTTAAAGTAACGTAAGTGTGTAATGTTACATTTCTGTACATTACTACTCTCATTTTGAAGCTGATATAGATCGTTTCGTAAACTTAAACACAATACGCATGTATTATTCCGGTTTTAAGGTTTTTGTTTTTCATTTTCGTTGGATGCCCACAGTGAAATCACCCTACTTTACATATGTGTTAGTACATTTCTGTTATCCGTCTATTGGGTTATCAGTCACGGTCCTGGTCCTTGACGGTTAATATAAATAATGAAATAGATCCCTTTCCATGTCTGCTTGACGCCGACTGACCAAAGATTAAGAAAAAGATCGACTGATAGACATGAAGGTTAGCAAGCTTTTTACATATTATACAAGTAGGTATATGTCTGTAGATGGGTGTTTAGGGAGGTGGGTAGATAGGTAGTAGGCAGGCAGGTAAGTAGGTAGGTAGTAGGCAGGCTGGTAGATAGGTATGTAGGTAGGTACGTAGGTAGGTAGCAGGCAGGTGGGCAGATAGACTGGCAGATACCAAGACAAACTAGCAGAAAGTATACAGGTAAGAAAAATGGCGGATTTATACAGTATTTTTACTGGAGGCATGCACATGCCTATAACTATGATCGTTGTAGCGTACGGAGAAGTGTGACAGTATGAATAAAGATAACCCAAAAAAACTAATCTAAAGATGTAAATAAAACATTGGAGTCAGTCGTTCAAGCAGACATTTGAGTTGACACATAATCTAAATGGTGAGGCTTTCGTAAAAAAAAAAAAAACATGATTCAGGAATTCGCAGAGAATATACAGAATTAATTAACTGCCATCCATAAGCAACACGTATAAAGAAAATAACAAAATAATTATTAAAATAAGCATAAAGAGAACATTGCACTTAAACTTACATTCTGATTCCATCTCCTTGTACTGAACAACTGCAGAAGTGGCCCCCCTGGCAATGTTTTGTTCGCTGAACACTGGATCATTGCTTGGTCTCTCCTGGCAATTTCTGTCTTCTTGAGCAGGCAGGCTAAGATCAATTTTAATCCGGTTTCCAAATATCTCGTGTAGGCCAGTGTTACCCAGTGGCAGACTGACTGTTGGATTCTTTTCTAGCCCTGAAAGATATAAGGCATGCTTTCATTTTCTATTTTCATTTTTATAAATGTTGTAAAACAATTATTCGGAAGTAATTCCTCATTATCATCATGTTGCAAATCATTTGCAAAATGTCATTTTATTGGACCCGGATAATTTTAAAAAAAAAAAAGGCGGGGGGGGGGGGAGAAGCCATTAACAAGAATATAGTAAAATATGATTAATTAAGGTATGTCAGGTCAAAAGTCACAGTTATCACAACATAGCTGTGAACAACAACACATCGTGTCAGTGGCCCTGTTGTCGTTTTCGGTACCAATAATTCACCCAGCGTGTACTGGATAGTTCAAATCCCGTACACCTGTTGGACTCTTATCTATGGTTAAGAGTTGTTACCTTAACTCCGAATCGTCAGTTAAGCCTGTGCTGATTTTTTTTTTTTTTTTTCACTAGGCTTAAATATTTTCTTCTTTGAATTAGAGCATCAAGGACAGAAACAAATCAAAGTGATTACAATCTTCTCCTTGTCTTATTTTTCTTAGTGTTAACCGGCTGTAAGCCCTCGTGAAAATCTCTGAATGTTCGTCCATTTGTAGACTTTAATATTGCACCAGCACTAGAACTTTTCCTGCATATCCATTTTGCAAATTTGGCTTATTTGTCTGAAATTGATTATAAGCAAACTGGTGGTTGCTCACCTCTCAAATAGACGTAGTCAGACTTCGAAATAAATACCCATAGTTTGTCGGCTTTTACAGTATGCTTGTTAAGAAGCAATGGATCTGTTCCTTTTTCCCTAAAAGGCAGCCCCTGAACCCATACGGAAAATAACGGTTGGATACGAAAAGAGTTGGGAGCCGAGCGAGGTAGTGTAGCGGCCAGATGCTCGCCTGCAAGTCTGAAGGACTTGGATCTAAAACCTCATCGAGCCTGATATTTTTTCTTGAAAAGCTAACCTTAGCTCTCAAGTCGACACAGCTTAAAATGGGTACCAGGTTTTTTTAATAGATGTAAATGCGATCGGCATGATGTTGACAGTATCAAACATCATTGGTCTTCAACAAAATATTAACCTAGCATCATACGCCTGTAGGAAGGGTTCCTTAATTGTTACCTTGCTGAAAGAGTCAACGGGGAACACAGAAGAAAAAGAACAGTGCTCTCACCTTTGACAATACCTTTCTCAAGGAGAACACGAGTCACGTTGTCACAGGCCGGGACAGATATCTGCGCCAGAGCTTGGGGTTTGTAGTTGACAATGTTCACCTGTAGGATTGTATCTGTGTACACATTATTACTTTCTAACGTTATCTATCATTTCTGGATGCTCCATGTTCTCGAGGCATGGTATTGGCCTCGAGTGCTAGAGGTTCCGGGTTTAATCCCCGGTAAGGGCTGGGATTTTTTCACGTGGACTTGGACTCTAAGTAATTCCCCTTGGTCTCTGGTCAGTGAGATCGAACGCCCGTGTGCATTGTTGCGCACGTAAGAAAAATCCCTTGGCAGTTGAAAAACGAAAAGAGTAGCCTAACGGCACTGCCCGAGTAAAATTTGGAGTTAAAAATCTACCCACAGTATTTCAGTATCCTCGCTGGTGCTACAGAGCTTGTTCACTGGGCTGAGCTTCTTCGGACTCAGACTTGAGTGAGAAAAAGAACAGAGCACTTGTGGGTTACCCATGTGCCATGATGTTGATCTGTTGTTCAAAACCCCAATCTTTCATTTCGTGATATTCCTTACTAGCACAGGACTACGGGTTAGCCTCACCGTCCTTTCCAACATGTATTTCTTTAGGTTAAACAAGGATTTCTTGGGATTTGTCCTGCTTCAGATGGAGTCTATGTTGGCAGCATACAGTTGACACGTTGGGCCACATGCCTGAATTTCATAACCTTAGCAGAGCAATTTGTACTGCAGCGGGTTATGGGTCACTGTGGCGTGGAAGGAAATGAAATAGCGGACAGACTGGTCAGACGCGGAGGTAACATGATGCAATCAGACAGTGACTTAACCTACCAGAGACTAAGGCAATAATACAATCAAGTATCAAAGAAAGGTGGATGATAACACACACCATATTTTCTCCGCCAGACTAGCTTCACCGCGAGCGATAATACGTTATATGCAAATCTATGCTCAAAATTTTTCCTTTGGGAAACACGGTGACGTGACCCTGCAGCTTGCCCAGAAAATGCTGTGTATGTGGCTCAGCTTTTCATCTGTATGCTACCAACAGAGACTCAATCTGGCCTATTCCAAAAAATTCTGTGTATGTGGCTCAGCTTGTCATCTGTATGCTGCCAACAGAGACTCAATCTGGCCTGTTCCACAAAATGCTGTGTGTGTGGCTCAGCTTGTCATCTGTATGCTGCCAACAGAGACTCAATCTGGCCTGTTTAAAAAAATGCTGTGTATGTGGCTCAGCTTGTCATCTGTATGCTGCCAACAGAGACTCAATCTGGCCTATTCCAAAAAATGCTGTGTATGTGGCTCAGCTTGTCATCTGAATGCTGCCAACAGAGACTCAATCTGGCCTGTTCCAAAAAAATGCTGTGTATGTGGCTCAGCTTGTCATCTGTATGCTGCCAACAGAGACTCAATCTAGCCTGTTCCACAAAATGCTGTGTATGTGGCTCAGCTTGTCATCTGTATGCTGCCAACAGAGACTCAATCTGGCCTGTTCCACAAAATGCTGTGTATGTGGCTCAGCTTGTCATCTGTATGCTGCCAACAGAGACTCAATATGGCCTATTCCACAAAATTCTGTGCATGTGGCTCAGCGTGTCATCTGTATGTTGTCAACGGAGATTCAATCTGGCCTATTCCAAAAAATTATGTGTATGTGGCTCAGCATGTCATCTGTATGCTGCCTACAGAGACTCAATCTGGCCTATTCCACAAAATGCTGTGTATGTGGCTCAGCTTGTCATCTGTATGCTGCCAACGGAGACTCAGTCTGGCCGGCCTATTCCAACCACAATGAAGACAAAACTGTTTGCAACACGAGGAAATATTAACTGCACGATAGCTTTATAAAGACTACCGGTCTCAGGACATAAGTGTTCTGACCGAAGGATCAAAGAATATTATTATTTCGTGATCTGGAAGTGGTGTAGACTTACGAAGCATAAGCAGTCATAAATACTAGGAATAATCGGCTGATTGAGCAGTGAGCATACCAGAGTGCTTTCTAAAACAGTCTTCTACATGAGAGTCATACGTTCTTAATCTTTCAGCTAGCCGCTCCTCCTTTAGGTGGGCAAACCATTTTATTTAGCACTGGCTCTCTCCTGTCACCTGATGTAATCAACTCTGACATTGTCTTGTCTTTTTAAATGACATTTCCCAAATCACAATTCTCACCTGTCTTGTAAATGTCTTTTCGTCGTTCCTCTGGCTGATCTTCGTCCAACGTACAGAGTCAGCTGGTACGTTTATTTTTCCTTTTACTGTGATGCCATCGTCCTCGACATCTAGAACAAAGTTGGAACTGTTTCATTTGCACTCAAGAAAGAGAGTCTACACCTGGATGTATTAGTCAATAAGATAGTCGTAGCTGTAACTTCACGACTGGTCACCATATTTTTTTTTTTTTTAATTCTCTCATGAAGACAAAGCTAGGTTTTCGAACCATCTAACACCAGCGAGAATAAAAAATGTGTATAACATAGTCTCAAACCAAAACATACGTCTTTTATATTTTGAACAAGAGTTATAATTGATACATTAACCAGTATTTAGGCTTACATGCTTAATATTTCCTCATTTTCTCCAACAAGCGAAGTGATTTCTAACTGCATTTTGAACTGTTACTCACTTCGTCGTAACGCCCTAATTACTGGGTGATATTTTCTTCCTCTTCTTCTTCTTCTTTTTTCTTCCTTCTTCTTCTTCATCTTCCTCTTCTTCTTCTTCTTCTTCTTCTTTCTTCTTTTTCATCCTTCCTCTTCTTCGTCTTCCTCTTTTTCTTCTTCTTCTTCTTCTTCTTCTTCCTTCTTCTTCTTCTTCTTCTTCTTCTTCTTCTTCTTCTTCTTCTTCTTCTTCTTCTCCATCTTCTGCTGCTGCTGCTGCTGCTGCTTCTCCTTTTTCTTCTGCTTCTTCTTATTCTTCTTTTTTCTTCTTTTTCTTCCCTTCTCTTCTTCTTCGTCTTCTTCTTCTTCGTCTTCTTTTTATTATTATTATTTTATTATTATTATTTTTTTTCTTCCTTTTCTTCCTTCTACTCCTTCTTCTTCTTCTTCTTCTTCTTTTTCTTCTTCTTCTTCTTCTTCTTCTTCTTCTTCTTCTTCTTCTTCTTCTTCTTCTTCTTCTTTTTTCATCTTTTTCTTCTTCTTTTTCTTGTTCTTCTCTTTCTTATTTTTCTTCTTATTTTTTCTTCTTCTTTTTCTGTTTTTCTTTTTTTTTCATCTTCTTCCTTTTCTTCTTCTTCTTTTATGTTTATTCTTCTTTTTCTTCTTTTTCTTCTTCTTCTTCTTCTTCTTCTTCTTCTTCTTCTTCTTCTTCTTCTTCTTCTTCTTCTTCTTCTTCTTCTTCTTCCTCTTCTTCTTCTTCTGTCTTTTTTTTTCTTCTACTTCTTCTTCTACTTCTACCTCCTCTTCTTCTTCTTCTTCTTCTTCTTCTTCTTCTTCTTCTTCTTCTTCTTCTTCTTTTCATATTATTATTATTATTCTCATCCTCCTCATCTTTTTCCTCGTGTTTTTCCCTCTCTATTTACCTGCTTCTATCTCCTCAAATTTTCCTCTTTTTTTTCTTCGTTTTCCTTTTTTTCTTTTATTTCTTCTTCTTCTCCTTTTTCTTCTTCTTCTTCTTCTTCTTCTTCTTCTTCTTCTTCTTCTTCTTCTTCTTCTTCTTCTTCTTCTTCTTCTTCTACTTCTTCTTCTTCTTCTTCTGCTTATTATTATTATTATTAATATTCGTCTTCTTTGTCTTCTTTTGCTATTCAGTTTTTTGTGAAATATATAAATCAACTAACTCACACTTGCCAAAAACATTAGATCACTCAGCATTTAGTGGGTGATGTCATTTTCTCCATTTGCCGCGTTTACTTTTCATGACATTTTCTGCGACCTATGTTAGGCTGGTCCACCTTAATGAAATATTATCCTGGATTCTCATACTACCAACTCAACTTTTGGAATCTTAGACATTTGTCTTATTTGGTCCGCTTTTTTAGTTAATCCAATTTAATTAATGTTCAACATTGTCTCAAACATTTGTTTTTAAATGCATTCTATTGTCGTTCAGTGTCTTTAGTAGTTTTGCAACTTTCAATGACATATGTTGAAAATAGAATTGAAAATACGTAGCTTGGTAAACTTAAATTCGTTTACACCCTTTAAAATGTTGCATCATCGTATGCAGTTTTGCTGTATATTTTTAAACAGTGCGAATCTCATCATCATCATCATCACCATCCCTTAACACTTCATATCGTCGGGCTATAAGTTGCGGTTGACTGTCAGATCAGCGCTCTCCACCTTTGACAGTCAGTTGCAATTGACTTCATGGTTGCATGTCAAGTCATGTCTAGTCAGTCAAGTTTTGTATCCAAGTCTTTATTGGACTGGGAGTTACCGTGGCAGAGCGACGAGACGCTCACCGCGGATCGGAAGGTCGTGGGTCCGCTCCTTGGACTATTTTCAAAAAAGACCTTGGCTCCCAGGCCGACCCAGCCTTGAGTGGGCACAGGGTGCAGCTCCGGGAAGTAAAGGCGGCGGGAGTGATGCTGACTACAACACCCATCTTGTGCCGATTGGTCTGTAACATATAGATTTAGCCCTAGATGCCCTATACACCTAAAGGCGTGGAAAAGGGTCCTTTACTTTTTACTGTTTACTTTCTTGGACTGCTTTTTCTCCTTTTCCCCTTTTCTGAGTCCTGCAGTACTGTTTTTTGAGAGGGCGTTAGATCTTATTATGTGTCCGCACCATTACATTTTCAGTATTTCTACTGTGGTTTTTTTTTTTTAAAGGTTTATATTTACCAATATGCTGGATAATTTTACGAATCTATTGCATAATTTTATCATAATCATATCTAACCTGTGTTTCTTCCGAAAGAGGCCTTTTCAAACCATTCTCTGGTCAACTTTTTTAGATTTATGACTGCCATTGTTGGAGGATTCTGTAGCACTGTGTTAATGCAAGTACTTGTTTCTTTTATCACTGTTAAGCGAAATATAATCAGTTGTTACATAATGTGGTAGGGAAATAATTATGAGCAAAGCTAAAGAAAATTGAGTAAGGCAGAGAAGGGAGAAGCATTTGTAAGTTGTGAAAACTCATATCTGTATTACTTTGTGAAAAGACATATATTTTAGGTTATAAGAGATGTAACTGTATTACTGTGTGAGAAGACATATGTTTTAGGTTATAAGAGTTGTAACTGTATTACTTTGTGAGCAGACACATGTTTTAGGTTATAAGAGTTGTAACTGTATTACTTTGTGAGACGACATATGTTCAATGTTATTAGAGATATAACTGTATTACTTTGTGAGCAGACACATGTTTTAGGTTATAAGAGATGTAACTGTATTACTGTGTGAGAAGACATATGTTTTAGGTTATTAGAGTTGTAACTATTACTTTGTGAGCAGACACATGTTTTAGGTTATAAGAGTTGTAACTGTATTACTTTGTGAGACGACATATGTTCAATGTTATTAGAGATATAACTGTATTACTTTGTGAAAAGACATTTGTTTTAGGTTATAAGAGATGTAACTGTATTACTTTGTGAGACGACATATGTTCAATGTTATTAGAGATATAACTGTATTACTTTGTGAGCAGACACATGTTTTAGGTTATAAGAGATGTAACTGTATTACTGTGTGAAAAGACATATATTTTAGGTTATAAGAGATGTAACTGTATTACTGTGTGAGAAGACATATGTTTTAGGTTATTAGAGTTGTAACTGTATTACTTTGTGAGCAGACACATGTTTTAGGTTATAAGAGTTGTAACTGTATTACTTTGTGACACGACATATGTTCAATGTTATTAGAGATATAACTGTATTACTTTGTGAGCAGACACATGTTTTAGGTTATAAGAGTTGTAACTGTATTACTTTGTGAGACGACATATGTTCAATGTTATTAGAGATATAACTGTATTACTTTGTGAAAAGACATTTGTTTTAGGTTATAAGAGATGTAACTGTATTACTTTGTGAGACGACATATGTTCAATGTTATTAGAGATATAACTGTATTACTTTGTGAGCAGACACATGTTTTAGGTTATAAGAGATGTAACTGTATTACTGTGTGAAAAGACATATATTTTAGGTTATAAGAGATGTAACTGTATTACTGTGTGAGAAGACATATGTTTTAGGTTATTAGAGTTGTAACTGTATTACTTTGTGAGCAGACACATGTTTTAGGTTATAAGAGTTGTAACTGTATTACTTTGTGAGACGACATATGTTCAATGTTATTAGAGATATAACTGTATTACTTTGTGAGCAGACACAAGTTTTAGGTTATAAGAGATGTAACTGTATTACTGTGTGAGAAGACATATGTTTTAGGTTATTAGAGTTGTAACTATTACTTTGTGAGCAGACACATGTTTTAGGTTATAAGAGTTGTAACTGTATTACTTTGTGAGACGACATATGTTTTAATGTTATTAGAGATATAACTGTATTACTTTGTGAAAAGACATTTGTTTTAGGTTATACATAATGAAACTGAATTACTTTGTGGAAAAACCTGGATATTTTAAGTTGGAGGAGGTCTGTTAAAATTTTATTGAGAGAAAAGAGATTTTGTTTCAGTTAGAGGGAACATGGCTGTATTAGCCTGTGTGGAGGCAACGATATTTCCAGTTGGAAGAACCGTGATGATACTATGTTGCGAGAAGACATTAGTGAACAGGGGTGTCACAGCATTTTGTTGTGATAGGACAGGAAGTTTAGGAAAGGTATGAATCTATTACGTTGTAAAAAAAAATTTTTTTTAATAAAAGAGATCTGTCCAGCTGAAAGGAAAATAAAAAGATTACTATTAGAGAGTATAATTATACACAAATATTTTAAAATGGAGGAGACATAACTGTATAAGGCAAAGATATTCTACGTTCAGAACAATGATATTTGGTAGAGGCGTGGTTGTAATAAGAGAAGACACGTTTTTAGTAGGAAGAAAATGTGGTTATGGAAGAGATTATGGATATTTCAAGAGGTAGGACACGTGGGGGCTTCAAGTCGAAAAGAATGTAAAGGCATCAAATAAAAGAAAGCACGCGAGCGTCAACTAGGAGGAAATGCATAAGCTGGAAGAAATGTAGAGTTTTCGTTTTTAGTTTGGAAGGAATGTGGGGATGCTAAATAGGAAGTTTGTATGGTATCAGGCAGTGAGGAAAGATTGAGGGCTGAAAACTTCTCCAACTTTAGCTCGTCGTTTAGGTACGACTATCACTCTAGCCGAACAAGCAGACAAAGGTACACGGGGTATTACCAATAATTTAGACTCTACTTAAAGGGTCAAGTTCCATATCCTGTTTAATTCATAGGAAACATAAATGATCAATGAGAATGTCTGTCTACGTATGTTCTGCTGACTGACAACACAACGGCATACACGCCTATATACAAAGTATACACAGTCTTCTTCTGAAGAATGATTCTCGCATCTTACGGCTGACAAGCCAGGTGAGATCTAGTCCGAAGACTGGATCTATATACGATGGGATCCCCTGTGATTTCACAAGGGCGACACGTACGCAGACTAGGGTCCGCTTGGGCACTTCAAAAGCTAAGAGTCCCTCCCTCCTTCGCACAAGCCCGTACCTCTCGTCCGTGTCGACACCGTTTCTGAACTTCGCTTAGTGGAAGAACGTTAATTGGCTTGCTCGGACTTCTAGCTACTGACGCCCACAACTTAATAACTCTTAACTATTAACCTGGACTCGCACCCGGTTCTCGCAGACTGTGTTTTCCTCGTGTTCCAGAAAGTCTGTTTGCAGCAAATGGAAAGCGTTTCACGGCAAAATTTCTTGTGTGCCAGTTTTCTGTCCACAAGACGTCTGTTTTGCCACTTTATAGCGCGCTTTTTGTGACTGATTAGCACTCACTCTCATGTCCATTCCTACACTCAAATGAACTCCCAATATACTCCTGCAAGTGACTTTCAGCAAGTGTCAAATGAAAGAGAAGATTTAGTTCTCAAGTGAAAGGAAGGTTTAGGTTGTCATGTAAAAGTTATGGTGGGGTTGTCAACTTAAATGGAAGATTGAGTTATCAAAAGAAAACGAAAGCAAGTTGTCAGAAAACAGGAAAAGCAGAGTTATCTAATGGAACAGAAATAAAAGATAAGGTGGAGTTGTCAAGTGGAAAAAAAAAGTGGACTTCTCAAGAGAAAGATAAGATAGAGTTGTCAAGTGAAAGATAAGGTGAAGTTGTCAAGTTGTTGTCAAGTGAAAGATAAGTTAGAGTTGTCAAGTTTAACATAAAATTAAGTTGTCAAGTGAAAGATACAGTGGAGTAATTAAATGAAAGATGAGATGGAGTTGTTGAGTAAAACGTAAGGAGTTGTTGTCAAGTGAGAGGAAAGACAAAATTATCAAGAGAAAAAAAAAGATGCAGTGGTCAAGTGAAAGACAAGGTAGAGCTGTAAACTGAAGGAGAAGACAAAGTTGTCAAGAAAAATATAAGCTCATTTGTCAAGTGAAAGATAAGGGGAAGTTGTCAAGTGAAAGAGGAGACACACTTGTCAAGAGAAAGATAAGCTGGAGTCAAGTGAAAGGGGGAACAAAGCTGCCAAGAAAAAAGATAAGGGGGAGTTGTCAAGTGAAAGAGGAGACACACTTGTCAAGAGAAAGATAAGCTAGAGTTGTCAAGTGAAAGGGGCGACAAAGTTGTCAAGAAAAAAGATAAGGTGGAGTTGTCAAGTGAAGAATTCATGTACATTTTTCATTTAAAAATAAAAGATAGAATTATCAAGTTAAAGATAAGGGATGGTTTAAAGTGAAAGATAAGAAGGGTTTCTTAGGTAAAATGCAAGGTGGAGTTGTCAAAGAAAGATAAGATGGAGTTCATAAGTGAAATGAAAGGGGTTGTTGTGAAGTAAAAATGAAGACAAAGTTGTCAAGAGAACGATAAGATGGAGTGGTCAAGTAAAAGAAAACGTGGGGTTGTCAAGTGAAACGGAAGACAGAGTTGTCAAGAGAAAGATAAGATAGAGTTATCAAATAAAAAGGTAGACAAAGTTGTCAAGAGAAAGATAAGGTGGAGTTGTCAAATGAAAGGGGAGACAAAGTTGTAGAGTTGTCAAGCAAAACGTAAGATTAAGGAAAAGATTATGTGAATTTTCCAGTTGAAAGATAAGATGGAATAATTAGGTTTAAGATTTAGGTTTAAGATAAGGTGGTTATCAGGTGAAAAATAAAGTGGAGTTTTCAAAATTAAAAAAAAAAAAGGTGGAAATTTCAAGTGAAAGAAAAGGTAGAGTTGTCAAGTGAAAGATAAGGTGGAGTTGTCAAGTGAAATATAAAGGAGTTGTCAAGTGAAAGAAAAGGTGGAGTTGTCAAGTGTAAGAAAAGGCGGAGTTGTCAAGTGAAATATAAAGTAGTTGTCAAGTGAAAGATAAGGTGTAGTTTTCAAGTAAAAGGGAAATCAAAGTTGTCGAAAGGAAGATAGGGTGGAGGTATCAAGAGAAGGGGAAGCCAAAGTTGTTATTAAAAAAGATGACTCGGAGTTGTCAAGTGTAAGATAATGTGAAAATTGTCAAGTAAAGATTAAGGTGTAGTTGTCAAGTGAAAGATAATGTGAAAATTGTCAAGTAAAGATTAAGGTGTAGTTGTCAAGTGAAAGAAAAGATGTAGTTGTCGAGTGAAACAGAAGGGTAAGTGGTCAGATGGAAGGGAAGATAAATTTGTCAAGAAAAGATTAGGTGGTGTTGGTCTAGTGAAAGGAAAGACAGAATTGTCAAATAAGTGGAAAGGTAAGATTACCAAGAGAAAGGAATGGCAGAGTTGTCACATGCTTGTTTATTTGCATTCGCTGGCTGAAAACTCCGCGAAAAGTTTGACAGTACACCTTTGACTTTGTTCCAGAACTCGAATTTGCGTGCGCATCCGTTTTACAGAACGGGTTTA